GAGGTCTGGAGGCTCGGGGGTCCGAGAGCCAGGACTGGCATATGAGGGTGTCATGCCATGGCAGAAGGGTGAGAGAGGGAGAAAGCACCCAACTTGTCCTTTTATGAGGAGCCCTCCCTCAAAAACAGCACTCATCCATTCACATGGGCGGTGCTCCTGGGACCCAAATACCTCCCAACACTGCCTCATTGGGGGTCAGTTTAACAACTCATGATCATCAGGGGGACATATTCAAACCACTGCGCCAAGTAGTTTCCAGTTTACAAAAACAAAAACACCCACCGGGAGTGGTGACACAAACCAGCAATCCCAGCACTGGGGAGGTGGAGGCAGGAGGACTGTGAGATCCTGTCTCAAAAATATAAAATACCCAAAAGAGGGTGAAAGCAGCAACAAAATCACTTATTTTATTTGTGAATCTTAGGTTGATGGGACTCAGCTAGACAGTGCTCATTGAGGTCTCTTGTGTGATAGCAAATCCAGTAGTGTCACAGGCTAGAGCCATCTTGAAGGCTTCCTCCCTGTCATGTTCAGTGCCTGGCTGGGGCTGGGGCAGTAAGAGTTTCTCAGGTGTTCCTCTTATACCACACTTGGTCTCTCTATATGTCTACCTCCAGAAAGCTACATTTTTTACATAAGGACTAAAACCGCCCAAGAGAAATGCAGAAGCTTCGTGGCCTTTTCTGCCCTGGCCTCGGTGTCACCTGTGCCTCATTCTGTTCAGGGAGGTCACAGAGGCCTATCTTGGCTGAAAGGGAAGGGAAATTGACCCCACCTTTTGGTGGAGGAGTATCTGAGACTTACAGACTTGACTTAAAATCATCACACCAAGTGTACTGATTGGCCAAGCTTCCATCTTGCTTTGTGACAGGATGGACTCAGACTCCTATGATTCTCCATCATGAGGGTTCAAAAAGGCAATGGATAAACTATCTGGCAGTAGAAACTTATAAACATAAGATATTTACAATTATAAGGAAATTAGAATTCTGTTTATATGAATTATCCAAGTACATTCAGTGTGTATGTAAGAAATTTTAAGAGAAAATATATACGATTTTTCTTTTCCAAAACAAAGATATGAATGAGATGTTAGGATTGGGGATGACAAGAAAACTAAAGTAGGGATTTCCAGCCCTTTTATTTTACTGTTATAAGCTCCCCGCCAGTTACTTACAAAATGGTTAATTGATAAAATTTTTAAAAGAATATCAAATGTGTCCTCAAAGAGCCCTGGAATAGAAACAGAAGACAATAGGCAAGAGAGAAGAAACCAACATAGAAACTCAATTCCCAAAGTTCATTGCTTTTGACTGTGCACAGCTTCCTGTGGGGAGGAGGGCAGGTAGAGGGCAGGCAGAACAGAATGGTAACGACTGGGCTTGTGGTTCAGTGGCAGACTGCTTGACTACCAGGCACAAGGCCCTGGGTTCAATCCCAGCACTGAAGAAAAAAAAAAAATGGTAAGTGAAAGTTGTTGAAAGTGTACACTCTGGACCAAGCGTCCCAGGTTCAAATCTCAGCTCACCATTCATCAGCTGTGTGACCATGGACAGGTTTCATTACCTCTCTGGCTTCTTTCCCTCAATTGTAACAAAGAACTAATAATAATACCTGCCTCATGCTGTAAGAAGTGTGTCAGTGCAGGCTTAGCTGTCCGAGCAGCGTGTGATAAGCAGGAAGTGCTCCATGAGTTCTACAATATTAGCTTTTTTCTCCTTACCAGTTTTTTTTTACTTGCCTTTGCCAGATACAAATGCCATGCCCCATATGGACTGTGGGCAGTCACTAAATACACAGAAGGAGGCCCTTTCCATCCATTGGCTCAGAGAATGCACTGGAATTCTAGAGGGGAGGAGGATTTCCTGCTATGTCTGGGCCCCCATCAATCTGTGGCCTTCACCTCTACACTTGTCCTTATCCTGACATATTTTTAAAATTGGTTCCACATTTTAAGACTAAAGCTAGGTTTTAGCTTTAGTCTCTCTTACATATTTGGAATTAGAGCCTCCAGAGTCCATTATGCAAATCCATGCAAATAATATGCAAAGAGGCACTTGCCCCAGATTGTGGGGAGGGGAGTGTGTAGACCAGCACAAAGAGCCTTGAATGAAAATTTGCATGTGTTAGGGGAGTCCCAGGTTGAAGGCCTTACACGTTTATTGTGCAGTGTGTACCCCATTCAGTTGTTAACCTTTTGTGCCAAGGAAGAGAGGTGTGAGCTCTTGTCTGATTTCCATATTGAATGTGACAGTAGAGGTTGAAGGAGGTGTTCAGAGGATGCAGCTATTTTATGTTACAAATGAAAAGTTGCTTTGAAATAATGGCCGTGGTCCAGGCTGTCTCCCCAAGCAGCTGTGTGTTGTGGAACAAGTCACTTCATTTGGTGGCCCCTCTATGCAAAGAAGGGATTGAGCTAAATGAACTCCAGGGCCCCTCCCCATAGCTTCCAAATGTCATCCTCTAGGCTTAAAAAAAAAAAACATAACACCCAGGATGTCCTTTACAGTCCTCCTGGAGAGGAAAATAAATCCAGGAGTTGCTGGGAGGCGGGGATAGGTCTTTTCCTGTGAATTTTAGGCCTCAGGCTGCATTGACCCCTCTGCTTCTGGAGCGCTGCAGAAGTTATCCTGCAGGTCACATGGCTCCTCTCCCATCCCAAGGTCAGTTAGTGTCTCTCCTAATCCTCTGTGCTGCCCTACACTCTACTGCCAGAAGAGTGGTATGCCCTTGGTCTTAGGACACTTATGGGATCAGACATGCCTGGTGCTCTGGCCCAGCTATCCTCTGGAGCCTTCATTGTAACTCCAGCTGTTTGCTGTAGCCATCAGCAAGGCACAGGTGTTATTGGCCAGCCTCTTCGCCCAGGGTTTCCCTGGCTTACTTCATGAGACCCAGAAGTACTGGTGGGTGGGATGAACTTCAAGGAGCAATCCTTGATTGGGTGAGTGCTACTTCCAACAGACAATATGAAACATGGCCTACTCAGCTCTGCAGACGTCCCCCAGTGACTTTGGAGTGACCACCCTATCAGCTCCTTGCTGCCCTTAGATCAACTCCCAATTAAACTCCTACGCACAGACCCTTGTCTCCCTTTCTCTCCTTTTCAAAGGATCTCTATTATAAGATGTTTGTATTAACAGGCATAACAAAATGCAAGACCATTCTTTACTCTTAGGTTCTGGAGGCAAGAAATCTAAGATCAAAGTTGGATTCCTCTGAGGCCCTTCTCCCCTTCTCCTTGCTCTGTACACAGCTTGCTGCTTTGTCCCTCTGTGCACACAAGCCCCTGGTATCACTCTGATGTTCTAATGCCCTCTTAGAAGGACACCAGTCAGGCTGCCTTGAGGCCCACCCAACTGTTCTCCTTTCACCTTAATGATCTCTTTGAAGGCTCTGTCTCCAAACACAGTCACATTCTGAGATCATGGGGTTTGGGCTTTAGCATATAAACTTGAGGAAAAACAGAATTCAGCTCTTACAAACACTAATATGGAACCAAGGTACTTGTGACACAAACAGGAGCTTGTAACAGACTGATTCCCCATCATTGGCCGCCACCAGCCCTAACACTGTCCTTGTGGTGCTAAGCTGCAAGATGTGGGGGACTTGAAGAAGCCTCAGCCAATCAGGGCAGATCAGTACACTGTTTCTCCTACAATGTGACTTAAAGCCCTCTTCTTCCACCTGCATAGTTGGTGGCAGCTCACCAGGAAATGCATATGTTTTTAGACACAACGCTAGCCTCACATTCTTCTCATATTTTTGCTACTGTGTGACTTTGCACATTCCCTCATCTCTCTGAGCCTCAGTTTCCCTCCCTGTTGTGAGGATTAAGTCAAGCATGGTTTTAGGACTGACTTGAATAGGCAGGGTGCACTGTTAGTGTATGCTCTGGCTCATGAATGATAACTTAGAAAAAAATAGGTTGATCCTAGAATTGATAGCCACTGTCACCTCAGTTCTAGCCAGGTCCCTCAACCTCCCGTATCTCTTAACTCAGAAGTGCAGGTGAGGGGTGAAGGGTCACTCCAAGGCTCTACCACAGACCGAATGGTCTTGGTGTTTTATAGTCTGTGATCTAAATAGATTCTACATCTTGTGTTTGTATGATGTATTATTTTTAAATATTGACACAGACTGCTGTGATTGATAAAGCCATACTTATTTTAGAAATGTTTTAAAATTTATGGGGTTTCATGCTTTTGCATTTTCTCTCAGTAAACTAAAAGAACACACATTAACTATCACGTAACTCTGCTCCTTTTCCTTTTTAATGTTCAGAAGGGCTCCTCCTACTCAAAAAGACTGGGCGCCACCAATAAAGGTCTTCCAGAGTTTGCCTACATGAGCTAGTATAACCAAGCCCACACCATCAGCCAGCGTTTACAGAGCCTCTTCTATTCCAGCCTGTACCAAGTGCTATATGGGTGCTGGATCTAGTTTTCCCTCCCTGGACCCATGTCCTCTTCTGCCTGTCACTCTCCTATGACACTAAGACATCTCTGCCTTACTTTAGGATTGACCATGGATTTGTGAGAGCCTCTCCAGGGCTGGAGGCTGCCCTGTTCATTTTCTTGTCCTCCAGGATCCAGGAGAGCATAGTCTCCCCCTTAATTTGGGGAGGATTGGGTCTGAATGGGAGGTAGTCTGGACATTGGTACCTGTCTGGTTCTAAAAAAAGGGAATAGGAACTGGTTAGCTCTGCCGACCCACACCTTCCTCCTTAGGTCCAGATGAGAACCTCCCTTCTTCCCTATCCTGTCATGAGGAGCTGCCCAGGGTGGAGAGCTGATGGCACACAGGGAAAGGATGGCAACAGCCCATTTGACTGGAACTGAGTCCCCTGGTGCTGCTTCCTTTCCCCAGCAGGTGCTGGTAGGACCTAGCAATAGATCTGGCCCAGCCCCACATATGACTCAGTGGACGTATGTGGACAGTGTACCGAAGCAGGCCCAGGAGCATTGACAACGCCCGAGTTCCCAAAGCTTTCCAGGGTCATGAGCGAGGAGAACTCTGGCTGTAGGCTGCCCCCTGGATAGCTCACCTCTCCTCTCTGTCTCCCTCTCCAGGCTTCCTCCTGACCTTGGCACTGACTGAAGCTCTGGTACTTGCTGTCCAGGAACCACCTCCCAGGGATTCTTTCCAAGTTCTCCCCTCAGGCAGTCCCACCAGCACCATGGTGACAGCACCTCACAGCTCTACCAGACACTCCTCTATGGTAATGCTGAGCTGGCATCCTGATGGCCTCTCCTCACAGGCTGCACCTATTGTGGCAACAACACCCCGTCCAGACGGGCATCCTCCTACAAACACCATTTCCACCGTCATAGTGACGGCCCCCATTCCCCATCCTGAAAGCCTCCTGCCCACAGGTGCCCCTCCTGCTGCCATGGCAACTACATCTTCCCACTCAGAGAGCCGCCCCTCAGGAGAGGCCACCCCCACCATGCTGCTGACAAAGACACCAGGAACCACCAGCCGCCCTCCCACAGCGCCCCCACGGGCTACCACCCGCAGGCCCCCCAGGCCTCCAGGCTCTTCCCGAAAGGGGGCCGCGGGTTCACTTCGCCCTGTCCCACCCGGTGGCTACTCTGGGAGGAAGGAAGGCCAGCGGGGACGAAATCAGAGCTCCACACATCTGGGGCAGAAGCGGCCTCTAGGGAAAATCTTTCAGATCTACAAGGGCAACTTCACAGGGTCTGTGGAGCCAGACCCCTCTACCCTTACCCCTAGAACCCCACTCTGGGGCTCCTCCTCTTTGCCACAGCCCCAGACAGTGGCTGCGACCACAGCCCCCAGAAGTACCTCGTGGGCACCTTCTACCACCCCCCTGGTGCCTGCAGAGGACAAGCCAGGCCTTAGCAAGGCCAGCCAGGGGGGTGAATCCACCTTCACCAGCGCAGGAGAGGCACCAGACACCACCACAGCCTCAGGTGTCTCTGCCAACCCACAGCCTGCTCCAGTGCCTTCTCAGCGCCCCCATGGGGTCATGCAAGACAGCCACAGCCACAGCGACTCTTGGCTTACTGTCACCCCTGGCACCAATAGACCTCTGTCTGCCAGCCCTGGAGTCTTCACGGCTGCCATGGAGCCCACCCAGGCTGCCTTTGATGCCAGTGTCTCAACCCCTTCCCAAGGGATTCCTCAGGGAGTGTCCACAACCCCACAGGCCCCAGCCTGGCCCCCTGGGGTCTCAGAAAGCACTGTTTCTCCAGCCAGGGAGGAAGCTGCGACCTCCCCCACAGTGACCGACAGGGTGCCCAGTCCTCTCTCCACAGTGATGTCCACAGCTACAGGAAACTTCCTCAACCGCCTGGTTCCAGCAGGGACCTGGAAGCCTGGAACAGCAGGGAATATCTCCCATGTGGCCGAAGGGGACAAGCCCCAGCACAGAGCCACCATCTGCCTAAGCAAGATGGACATCGCCTGGGTGATCCTCGCCATCAGCGTGCCCATCTCTTCCTGCTGTAAGTGCCCTGCTTCCTCCTTACTCCCTGTTACCTTCTTCCTCTCCCTTTCCCAGGGTAACTTCCTCCTTCCCATCATTCCTTCACCCCAGAGTTGGGCAGCTCCAGCTGCTAAGGCTGCAAAAGTCAGCTGTAAACATCCCCGAAGTCCCAGGAAACAAGGTAGCAGGACAAGAATTGGGTATTCCCTATCCCTGGTCCTGGGCTCTGCGAGGCTATGGATCAAATGTCGATGGATCATAAAACCACAGTTCCCAGGAGCTAGGGAGGACCTTGCCAGCATCCTAACCCAACCCTGTATGCCAAACTAAAGAAGAGACCTAACTGTTGGACCCAGGATCCAAGTGTTAAGAGAGAAGAAGGGCTGGGGTGGGAGCTCAAAGACCGTCTTCCAGCCCAGTACACCTGTCATGATACCACCCTGCATCAAATGCGGCCTGCCAATGCTTCAAGCAACATGGCCCCAGGACACCACTGTGTCCAAATTTGCAGCCTCCAGCCAGCCCTCTCCTACTTCTCTATCTTCCTTCTTGTCTTTTCTCTGTTCTCCTCCATCTCTCTATCTCTTCTTTCTCCCTCCCATCCCCTGAGAAAAAAGAGGAGATAAAGCTTTTCTGGGGTGGGAGGTTCCACTGGCCTTGGCTCAAAGCATAGTTCTTGCAGCTAAATTAAGCTTCTCTCCACCCCGACTCCACCCCCAGTCCATTTCATTTGTTCATGGGTGGCGAGAGCTGGTATGGACCTTGTCATTACATTTTGCTCTCCCAAGGCTCCCAGAACCAACTGGCTCTGGCCTGTCCCTCTGAGTGATGAGCTGGGAGGCATTCTCTCTGATGTCTCCTGCTGTATCAGAGGCAGGAGGACCATGAGTTCGAGGCCAGTCTGGGCTACTTAGCAAGACCCTGTCTCAAAAAGAAATTGCTGTGACCACTCAGAACCTTGAGACTTCCCTCATGCTGCCCATGTATCTGACAGTCCATTCTCAGAATTTTTCGGATAACCTCAGTCATGTGTGTTGTGTTCAGCCCTACCCCACCCCAAACACTTACCATTTGGTCACTCCCTGAGCTCTTCTAGGGATGACACTCCCCCAGTGTTCCTCAATCCCTGGACATTCCATTCTCCTTTGACCATTCAGATTTTTCACTGAGCTCTTGGGTGCCTCTTCGTCATTTCCACCCTGTGGTCCTGAGCGCTCCCTTCTGATACCACACAAAACAAGTCCATTCAACAGCCCCTGGGACCTCGGAATAGCTCAGGGTAGTGTTCTTTGTCCAAGCAGCTCATCCCTGTCCCTTCACAGGGCCCCCGGGCCTGCCTGCTCCTGCCACATCCTGATGACTTTATCACTGGTCCCAGAAGGGAGTACAGTTCTGCATATGCCTGGCCGTGACAGAGGAAGCCAATGGTGGGCGCGTTGACTACATTCACACAGCCTGTGCTGGCTTCCATCCTGTTGGTTGTACTGGCTTCAGGTCACACCAGGTGCTCACCCTGATCTCAAGCAATTGAAAGCCCCAGAGGCTTCCCACAGGGGGCTTATGCCTTTAACACAGCTGGGATTTCCACTTGGCATTTCTTTCCAAGAGCCATTTCTGCTCCAAGACCCAACCAAGGAGGAGCGAAAATGTTCGCAAGGTTCATGTTTCCTTCTCATTGAAAGCAACTTTATTGTCTTTCATAGAAACACATATACTTTTTAAAACTGCAATTGCCTACTTCTGAAATACTAGTTTATGGCCATACCACCTGAAGGCACCTGATCTTTTCTCAAATAGAAGAATGGTCCAGTGTGGTAGCCTAGGCCTGTAATCCCAGCTACACAGGAGGTGGAGATTGGGAGGACCTAAGTTCAAGGCTAGCCAGTGCAAAATGTTAGTGCAACCCCCATCTCAACCAACAAGCTGGGCCAGAGGTGTAGCTAGGAGGATTGTGGGTCAAGTTGGCCCAGTCAAAATCTAGAAACCCTCTCTGAAAAGCAAAAAGGGCTGAGGGCATGGCTCATGTAGTACAGCATCTGCCTAGCAAGTGTGAGGGTCTGAGTTCAAACCCCAGAACCAGAAAAAAAGATATAGCCCAACATACTGTTAACAGTGGTCATATTTAAGAAGTAACCACGTGAGAGACTGGTCTCAACTTCTCCATTCCTTACATGTGTCTTGGCTGCTGTAGTTTACAAAGTGAGTTTCTATTATTTTTTATCATTCCATCCTTAGACTTGCCAGAGAAAATAAAATAAAAACAGAAATACACAAACAAACACCCAAGGTGCCAGAGTGGCTCTGACCATCATCCACATTGCACAGGGGGAGCATAAGTCACCAGATGAAGTGACTTCTCCAGGGAGTCAACCCAGATTTGGTGATGCAAAAATCTGTTTGTTGCATTCAGTGCAATATTTCCTGAGTGCCCACTGTGTGCCAGGCACTGTGCCAAGGCCAGGGAATCAGAGATGTGTGACTTGGCTCCCTCCCCAGTCTCAGCTCCCATGCCCACCTGGGTGTCATTTGTCTCACCTGAATGGTACAGGGTAAATGTAGCCAGTGTCCCCAATGGTCACACACCCCCATGACTGCTACTTCTCCACCCAGTCCTTCTGCAAGGGGTGAGTGTGAAATTAGGCCAGATCTTGATGCAAATCTAGAAAGCCCATAGGCTGCCTGAGCCAAAGATAAAAATGTCAGCCAAGACGAGAACAAAGACACAGCTCAGAACCACTGAGAGGAGCTTTCAGTGCTGGCAGTAGGATGTATTGCTTTCTTGGTGGTACCAGGACTTGAACTCAAGGCCTCAGACTTGCTAGGCAGGCATGCTATCACTTGAGTCATGTTCCTCAGTCCTTTTATGCTTTATTTTTTGGGTAGGGGCTCATATTTCTGCTCAGTCCAGCCTCAGATTATGATCCTCCTACTTATGCCTCCCACATAGCTGGGATGACAAGCATGTACCACCACTCCTGGCTTATTGTTTGAGATGGTGTCTCACTAACTTTTGTTTAGTTAGAACTACAGTTCTCCCAATCTCTGCCTCCCGAGTAGCTGGGATCTTAGATATGAAACATCATGCCTAGCTAAGACATACTGCTTTCCAAAAGAAGATACAAACGCTGTTCAACGTGACTCAGTCCCTTGAGAACTGCAGAGCCAACTTCCTCTGACTTTTCCACCATCCACACAGAAGGCTCCTCCCTCCTGCCCCAGCCCTGGCTGCCTTCTTGGCGGTGGTATCGCCAACTCCTGTGGACCAAGGCCCCAGTGAGAGGACCTTTTAAGATCAAATGATATTTGTCAGGCCTCAGAACCCCAGGTTCTCTCCTTAAAAATCTCTGTCTCTTCCAAACAAGAGGGTCTACATTGCAGCACTGCCCTGGGGCTCCATTAAGGCAAAAGCCACTCCTCAGACCTCAGAGGAGACCCCATCCTTTGCCTGCTCGCCAGAGACTCTAGGCAGTCTGACCCAGCAGCAAAGAACAAAGGTCACCTTCCTCTTCTCTCCTCCAACTTCCTCTAGCCAGGACCACTGGGTCATAAGCCCTGCTTCTGTGGAAGTGAGGAGTGAGGATAGCAAAGCCCCAGCGTGCCCCAGGACAGGGTAGGCAACTCACCTGCCTCTCCAGATTGGAAGCCTGCCCCATGACTAGAAGGGCATATGTGTGCCGGGGCTGAGACACACTTTGTCTTCTGACCCTGCCAGACACACTCAGCCAAAATGGTTTCAGATGTGCTGAAAACTGAAATTGATTGGATTCAGGCCACAGTGGGTGAGGGCAGGGCAGCCATGTGGTCCCTGAGCTGGTCTCTGCTGCCACCATCAGGATACAGGGAACCTACCAGTTGCCTTCTGCTAGAAGCCTCTGGGCTGTCACGTTCATTCTGTTTGCTTGTAACTGTTCAGTAGACCCCAGGCACAGGTGCTGTCCTTCCTTAGAGAGTTGTGTTGTGTGTGTACATGAGGACCTTTTTTCCACTGCCAGCCCATGTTTGGGGAATGGGGCAGTGACCCATGTGGCTTGATGGGAGATGTCCTTATGAGGTGGTAAATGAAGAGTGGTTCTGTTTGTCTCAACAAGAAATAGTACCAACTCCTCTTCTCAAATACTCTCTCTATGGCTTCCATTTCACAGCTACAGTTCCCTTGCCATTCCAACATCCCAGTTTATAGCTACAAGGTGACAGGTTTAGTGACTGTGAAGAATAAAGACATCAGGAAAGGCCAGGCACAGTGGCTCACACCTGTCATCCCAGGTACTTGAGAGGCAGAGATAGGAGGATTGCAGTTCAAGACCAGCCCAGACAAAAAAGTTAACAAGACCCTCAAAAAACAAGTGGAGTGTGGCAGTAAATACTTGTAATTCCAGATACACAGGAAGTGGAGGTAGGAGGATCATCATATGAAGCCAGCTCAGACAAAAAATACAAGACTTCCTGAAAAATAAAAGGAAAAGGGCCAGGGGTGTGGCTCAAGTATTAGAACACCTATCTAGCTAGTGCAAGTCCCTGAGATCAAACCCCAGTACCACAAAAAAAAAAAAAATTAAAGACATCTGTAAATGGTGCAGCCCTGCCACTCACAGACCTGTGATCTGTTCTTTGGGACATTAGCATCTCCCGGCCGAGTAAGGGGTGGTCTAAATGAGAGGTTTCTAGGCTGAGCTCAGCCCTCTCCTGGCCCCTTTCCTTCTTCAGCTGTTTGAAGAAAGGATTCTGGAAGGACAGGAGGGAAAGAAGGAAGAGACCCACAAAGCTTGAAAAGTTCTATCCTGGCCAATCTGAAATCCCTGCTAGCCCATTCAGACTCTCCTCTGTGCTTTAGAAGTTTTTTTTTTTTTAAAGCATCTGGAGGCATGATAAGTAAATTAGAAGTATTTGGTCAAAGCGGATCAGATGCAATGTGAATTTGCCATCTTTTGACCTTTCAAGTTGAGACCCTAGCATGGCCGACAGGTGGAAGGAAAGCAACAGAATGTCCCAGTCAGCCCGCAGGGGCCTGGGCCTGGGCTCTCAGTCTGTATATGTACACACGTATATGTGTGGACATGTGTATGTGTGCGAGTGTGCATATATATATACATGTACATATGCCAGCTTCTGCAGCTGCCCCATGTGCCCTGGCACACCCACAAGTACCCATCAGGCTGCTGCAGATGGAGCTGGGAAGTGTAGTCTAGGCCCCAGTCCCTTGCAGAAAGATGGTTGGAGCCCCAGGATGTTGGGTGCAGGCAGCACTGTCAGCCCCTGGGAAGGATAGGCTCAGTCACCACCTACTGGCTGCTCCCCAAAGGACTTCTGTCACTCTGACAGCACCACCATTCTGCTGCAGGCACCTGGACAGACCACCAGCTTCCCCTACCTCAGAGGTCTTCCCTGTCAGCATGCCCAAGCCACTGGCCACACCTGGTTCACCCACAAATCCAGCCAGCCTCCTTCCTTTAGGGCCTGTGAGTCTCAGAGACTGAGCAGCAGGGGGTCACACGTCACACAATGAGTTCAGTCAAGTGGTGAGAGGCCACCTTATCAGGTCACGTGTGCTGGGTAGGCGTTCCCATCACTCTGAGACAGGACCATGGATTTGGAAGAGCACAGACTTTGCAGTCAGATGCCTGAGTTTGCTCTTCGTTTCCTCTCTGAGCCTCAGTTTCTCTGTCTGTAAAATGGGAGGACTATCAGTACCAACTTCATGGAGAAGTAAGTGAATTAATATTTCTAATGTGCCTGGAACATGAGTCCCGTGTCACTGTTAGCAGCTTTTTAAAAATGATGCCAATGCCAGGAATTTTGCCCAGCGAGCGTCTGCCATGGAGGCCCTCTATGGACATCAAGGGTCCTTTGTCACGTTCATTGTGCCCTGCCTCTCATCCTGCCATATTCCCACTCCAGCTGAGAACTATCTCAGCAGTCCAGAGGTGCAACTGGAACATGCACGCTGGTGTCTCCGGCCGAGCCTGGGGGAGCAAGGCTTTTTCTCGGTGCATATGCTCTTGCCTCAGGCCCGTGGAGAACACCTCTAAACACAGCTTAGACCCAACCTCCTGCCTCTCTCCCCGCAGCACACTCCATTCCAGTGCTGCTCTTCTGCTCTCACACACACTCAGCCGTCCATACCCTTGGCAGGAACGCAGTGCCCCATCCTACATACAGCTGGCTCCTTCCCCCAGTCCCTGTCTCCTTGCTCTAAAGTCACCTCCTCAGGAAAGCCTTCCCCAGTGACACTCCCCATACTACCTCATCGTCGCTCTCACTTTGCCCTGTTTTATCAAATTTAAATTACTTTTATTTTTCTTAAATTAATTTTATTGAACTTAAATTTTAAATTTAAACTAAATTTAAATTTTAAATTAAATTTAATAAAAACTTATTTTTATTAAATTTAAATTACTATCTGAATTTGCCTTATTTATTCATCTTATTATTTAATATTGTCTGAGTTCCCCCTCTGCCCTCCTCCACACCCACACTAGGATGGGATCTCAAGAAAGGGGAGCGGACTTAATCTTTTTTTTCCACCCTTATCTCCCAAACACCTTTCACAATTTCTGACAAAGCACTGCAGGCGTGAGTTGAAAGAACAAGCAAGGGATGGGCTTACAGAATGAGGTCAAGCAGTAAAGCGTCTGCCTAGCAAGTGTGAGGCCCTGTGTTCAAGTCCTAGTACCACAAAAATTACATTAGATTTTAAAAAGAAAAGGAAGAAATGAATCAATGAGGTGAGTAGCTAAATTATGTATGGTCTTTGTAGCCCCACCTGGAGCCTGGCGATTGTCACCAGCAACACAGGCTCTAACTTGGGCTCTCTCCACAGCCGTCCTGTTGACCGTGTGCTGCATGAGGAGGAAGAAGAAGACGGCCAACCCTGAGAACAACCTGAGCTATTGGAACAATGCCATCACCATGGACTACTTCAACAGGCATGCAGTGGAGTTACCAAGGGAGATCCAGTCTCTGGAGACGTCTGAGGTATTGAGCCCCACACTACCAGGTCCCCCTGCGGTACTGACCCCATGCAGGGAAAAGCACAGGCCCCAAAGACAGTCGTGGAACATCACTCACTTCTGAGGGCCTCCACCTCCATGGTGGCCCATGGACCATCCACAGCCCTAACACGCCAGGGCTAACAGGATCTTCCCCAACCTTACTGAACCACCACACCACCTGCATGTTCACAAGAATCCCCAGGTGCTGGCTGTATGCTAACATTTCTAAGCACTGCCCTCAGGGCTTCTGGCTTGTGAGTACCCAGAACAAATGCTCATATGAGGGCCTGGTTTGTGGCTCGCACGCTCAAGGGACATGAAGATGAAAGCTTGCTCTCAGCGGACTCAGATTCTGAAATGTGGCTGGAAGATGAATCCCAACATTACCCAAAAAACAAAATAAATTAGGGGAGCCGAGAACAGTTAGAGACAAAGAGATATGGAGACCGTGAAGGCCTTCCCAGTGAAGGTGTGGGAGGGTCAAGGAGATTTCAGCAGGCCTCTCAGCCTGAGCACAGGAGGAGTCCATGCTGGAGGTGGCACATCCAAGCAGTGGAGGGTGTGTGGCAGTGTTGGCCACACCAGCTGGCTGGCCAGAGAGCTGGGCCTAGAGCCTAGGACAGTCCCTTAGAGTCCATGCTCTTTTCCTTCTCTCACAGAGAGGGGCGCAAGGGCCAGGGCAGAGCAGGAAAGAAGGATGGAGGGGACAGATTAGGCCCAACTTTGAAGGAATATCATGGCGTTTAGACTTTATTTCGGGCATCAGAGGGTCATTGAAAGTTTTGAGCATTGGGTGACCCAGTTTAAGAAGGTTTATGTTGACAGCCTGGCTATATGATCAGAGTGGAAGGAAGGAAAAGAAGGTGGTTTGGTGAATGGGTGGATGGATAGAAGAACAGACAGAAAGACCAAAAACAAGAAGGTCAAGTGGGATGCAATTGAGAAGATTCAGGGAAAAGATGGCGGCCATCTGAGTAAAGGGAGGCAGAGCCAGGAAGAGTTCTTAGGGAGGTGTGTTTACCCTCCCCTGAGGATCCATTCCCAGGACAAACATGAAAGTGGTCACATCACTTAAACATCTCTGAAACTCCCCATTGCCCTTAAGTTAAGGTTCAAAGTCATTTCCAGGGCCTATGAGTTAGACCTGGTGCTTGCCCAGCTTTCTAGCCTTTCCCCTCATTTGTTAAGCTCCAGCCACAATGACATTCTTTTCATTCCTCCATGTCACAGAGTAACATGGCAGCCACTCCAGGTATGTGTGCAATCTCTTGTTCCCTCTCTTGCAGTTGTCTTCTGTCCCTCCCCAGGACACTTCCACTTGTTCTCCTGGGTGACTCCTCCCTACTGTCAGGACCCAGTCTAAAGTTCACCTTCTCTGGGAGGCCTTCCCCACCTGCCGGACTGGATCTGGCTCTCCTGTCAGGTAGTCTCTACTCCCTCTGCCTTTTCATCATGGCACTTACTAGAGAGAGATTGTGCGACCACTGCTCTTACATTAGTCACTATCACAACACACCCTTCCCCATTTGTATATCCAGTTGTTTCCTCATGGCTAAACCCACTGGTCAACTCTGAACAGTCTTCTTACTTCATCTTCCACTTCCTCAAAACCACTCACCACCAACAGGGGCCCCACCCTCTTTGGTCTTCCCCCACTCCTGACAGTTCAATTTCAGTACTGAGTCCTTATGTTTTCCTGGACCTCTAATCGCAGGACTCCCAGGCTCAGTCCAGCCATGCCTCCTCTTTTCTTTCCTCTTGGGTATGTGACTTCAGTGCTATCGCCACACCGTTGGCTCCTGAACTCCAGAGCCACCTACCTAGCCACCTGCTGCACTTGTCCAATAGACGTCTCAAACTCAACCTGCCCAAGACTGACTTATTGATCCCTCCTCCCCACCCCCAAACCCAAACTCACCTGGTCCTTGTTGTGCCCGTGGAACTTCAAGACCCCTTCCTCTGTCCCCCGTCTTGCACACCCTGGAGACAACCGGTCTGTTAGCAAACCCCGCTGGTTCTTCTTAAGAATGAGCCCTTCTTGGCCCTTGCAGCACCGCCCTCCTGGTCCTGGCCCACCCTCCTCTCTTACATCCTCTTTGCTGCCATGGCTCTAAAAACAGCACTCCCTGCTCCATCTTGCCTCCTGAAGTCTGTGAGGACAGGAGCCACACAGTAGCCAGATGACCTTTTCAAGGCAGAACCCCACGTCCACCATGGCTCCCAGTTCTCAGATGACCCTTCTGAGCACTTTAAATATAATCTAGGCTCCTGTTTCTGTTCCCTCCACTAGCTGATTCTGTCACCCCACTGCCCACCTCCCACACTCCCCCCTAGCCACACTGGCCTCTGCTGTTCCTCCTACACAGGAAGCCAGGTCCCCCTTGGAACTTTGCCTTGTGCCTAGATCCCTTGCTTCCTTCAAGTGTCTTTTCAGACTTCACCTTCTGGGGGAGCCCTTCTCTGACTGCTCCACACCTCTTAGAATCCCACCCTAACTCTCAGTCCCCAGCCCTGTTTTCTTTCCCTTCAGAGTAAGCTCTGTTGACTGATCTGTGGTCCACTCCATCCTGGAATATAAATCACCTTAGGGCAGGAGCCTTGTTTATTGGGTTCCCTGCTCCATTCCCAGCACCTAGAACAGTGCCTGACACACAGTGCCACATACGCAGAAAGTGTGTGAAATGAGTGAACCATGAATTTTGTCCATCATGATTTACCCATCACCCAGGCCAGAGTCTGACACACAGTAGATGCACAATGAAACACTTGAACCAAAGAACAGAGGGGCAGGCTTCATGGAAGCGTTAACCTGTTTTGTGTTATAGTGAGTGAAAAACTGTAACTTGGCACAGGACTGGCCCCACTTTGGGTAAGGGCTGTGAACCCCTGACCTCTAAACTCCTCCTATTCTCTTTGCATGTTGGTAGATGAAAACCACAGCCAAAGGACAGTAGACATGTAGAATACCACGTTAGTCATTCCAGTGCATAGCACTGCCCTCTATGAGACAGGGGCTGTGGTGAAAAGGGCCACCCAGCCACCAATGGCCTCAAGAATAGGAAGGTGCCACAGGCCCCACTGCCAGAAGCTCGGCTTGGCTTCAGAGTAGATTTTATCATGGCTTCCCTCCCAGCGGTCTGTTCCCTTTATTCTGCTTTATTTAGAGAAGTATGGGAATCTGTTCCAATTCTCTGAGCTCATGCTATTTGAAGGCAAGGGCAGGCAGCCCTGAGTCATGATGGAGACAGCTGGAGACACGTATGCACTGAGGCCCGTCTGTGGGGTGATCACATTCCACCATATTCTGCCTCCTAGGATGAGCACTCCCCACCTGCCTCTTAGCCAGCAGCTCTGGGGACCAGCCTAAGCAAGTTTCCTGTCCCTGCTCAAATAATCTAGGGCTGGACAGACCGAATCACCACACTCAAGGGTGCCTGGAAACCTCTCTTCTCCCTTCTCTCTCCCTCCTCCTCCTTCTGTTCCTGCTCCTCTTCTCTTTCTCCTTTCTTGCCTTGTGGATTGCTAAATAACTTTCCGTTATTTAGGTGTAAGGTTCACCCTTGGTGAGTGAATACTTGCTTATGAAACGGAAAGCAAGAAACGAACTCTCAACTTACAAAACTCCCCTCATGGCTCAGCATGGAGGAGAAGGTCTTTTGTCCCTTCTCCCACATGTCACCCTGTTCTCCTAAGGCCCCAGGTGCCCCTGCTGATGGGGACTCAGCCAAGCCCAGGCACTAAGGAAATGCCTGTCTCCTGAGAAGACATGTGGTTAAGTTAGAACTTCTTTTCTCTCCTTATGATCCATAAAACAGCCAGACCTCCTCGAAAACAACCTTTTGTCTGTTTTATCTGAAAGTAAGCTTCAGATAGCTTTTTTCTTTCTTTTTTTTTTTTTTTTTTTTGAGGAGGCAGCACTGAGGTTTGAACTTGGCCTCTCTTGGCAAGCGTTCTACCACTGGAGCCACACTTCCAGCCCTCTTTGCCTTACTTATTTTTCAGCTAGGGGCTCACACTGCTTTTGCCAGGGGCTGGCCTTGGACCACAATCCTCCTACTTACACCTCCTTAATAGCTAGGATTGCAGCCATCTAATTATGGCTTCTTAAAATGTAACCATTTCTAAGGAAATCTGGTATAACCAGCAGACCTAGGTCTGTTGAGCTGAGTCCTCTTGTCCTGAAATGGCCTGGAGATTTGCGATTTCTGCAGTTTAGTACTGGGGTATGCTATGACATTTCTTTCTTGTTTCTTTCTGTTTTTTCCTATATTAATACATTATTCCCTGAGTCTGAGCACAGCCATTTAGTGGTCCTTGGGACTTGAAATCCGAGCAATCGGATTACCTTCTGAGCAGGGGATTACTGCTGTCTAGGCTTTTCCACTCTGGGGTTAAGCAGCCAGGCTAAATTTTTCACTTACTACTGATGGTGCAGTCACACAGAGATTCAGATCTGTGAAGTCAGCTCTTCTAATGCTACATGAAGTGGGGCAATTTTGACCAGACTCTGGGGAAGATTCTGGAAGAGGAGGAAGCGGAAGTGGCCCTGGAAGACAAACAGGTCTGTCAGACTGATGGATCGATGGCAGGAGAGAAGAGAGGTGGGTGATTATAGGTGTGTTCAGAAAGGAAGAACAGAGAAGTTTCCCAGATATCTGTAACAAAGAGGCAAGAAGTAGAGTCTGGGGTCCACGGGGTCAAGTTTTTCCAGCTCAGGCAGTGAGCCGCACTGTTTTATATAGTGAGCCTGGGACTTTAACAAGGAAAGCACTGAGTAAAATAAAAAAATAAATAAAAACAAGAAAAGCAAGTCCATCTCTGGCAACGTAGGGTAAGGGGAACTCAGGAAGCACGATACCTTTTTTGGAAGCTACTATAAAAATCTGAAAGGGGGAGGGGGAGAAGAATAACAGGTTGAGTTTGATCAAAGTACACTTATGCATGTATAGAGCTATCACAACGAAACCTCTTTGTACAATGAATAGACAATAATTAAAAAAATCTGAGCCTGGTGCCGGTGGCTCACATCTGTAATCCTAGTAACTTGGGAGGCTAAGATCAGGAGGATCAGGGTTAGAGGACAGCCAGGCAAAAAGTTAGCAAAACCCCATCTTAACAAAAAGAGTTGGGATGCTGTGGTGCGCGCTTATCATCCCAGTGATGGTGGGAATCATAATATTGGAGAATCACAGTCCAGACCTGCCTGGAGGAAAAGCAAGACTCTATCTCCAAAACAGCCAGAACAAAAAGGGCTGGAAGCATAACTCAACACCGTATCACCGGCCTCTCAAGCGCGAAGCCTTGAGTTCAAACCCCAGTACTGCCCGTCCCCCAAAATATGTGAAAGAACAACAAAGAGGGCTCTGCACCTCAACACTGGCAGAAGGGATAGTGAAACCGTATACCAAGCAGTCCCAAAGAAATGGCTTTTGATTTTGGTTTTAAGGGTCTTGCTACGTAGCCCAGGCTAGCCTCAAACTCACTATGTAGCCAGGATTTTCCTCATACTCACACTCTTCCTGCCTCCACCTCCTGAGTGCTGGGATTGCAGGAATGCAATATATAGCATACCTGGCTATATGTGTGCTTTTCTTTTTTTGGGGGGGTCAGTACTGGGGTTTGAACTCAGGCCCTCATGCTTGGTAGTCAGGCAACTCTACCAATTGAGCCACTCCACCAGTCCTTTTTGCTTTAGTTGTTTTTCATTTGCATTTTTTGCCCAGCCTCAGACTATGATCCTCCTATTACACCACCTGTGTAGATGGAATGCCACAGACACCGGGCACCATGACCAGCGTGTTAATTGAGCTGCGAGTCTCACTAACTTTTTGCCTATGCTGGCCTTGAACCTTGATCTTCCCAACTCTCTGCCTCCTGAGTAGCTGGGATTCCAGGTGTGAGCCACTGTACCCAGCACATGTACATTTCATGAAGTTACCTCTCACACTTCCACATCTCACCACCATCTCCTCCCTCTCTCCAGGACCAGCTTTCAGAGCCCCGCTCCCCAGCCAATGGCGACTACAGAGACACTGGGATGGTCCTTGTGAATCCCTTCTGTCAGGAAACACTGTTCATGGGAAATGACCAAGTCTCTGAGATCTGACTACAGCAGCCTTCGCTTTGCCATTCCCTATTTTCATCTCTAAATTACAAATATACAAATATATATATTATAAATATAACCTTTGTGTAACCCTAACTTAATGAGGAACATTTTCAGCTTTTTTTCCTAAGAATTGTCAACATCTTTTTTACAAGTGTGGTTTAAAAAAAAAAATCAAAACTTTACAGAATGACCAAGGCTTTATAAAATAAAGGTATTTGTAAGCAAAGCAGTTGCATTGATTGCTTCTCTTAATAACTGTTCTGGAGCCCCTGGGGGGGGCGTCTCAGGAGCCCAGGGCAGGTAAGGGAAGAGACTGACCTCCTGTGGAAGCTGGATGCTACAACGGTCAAGTTTACAGGCTCTGCATGATTCTCAAAATTCTGGCTCTTGATTCAGTGCAAGCCCACTTCCTCTCTGCTCGTGTGCACACTGGAGGAGGGGACTGAGCTACCTAGGAGGAAGAGAGCAGAGTCATGCACAGAGCAAGGAAAGGGAGCAAACCCCCCACCCCACCCCAGAGGACGAGCCACTCCACCACCAAGAGCCTCACAAGGACAACATTGCCTGTCAGGTTTAAGGGCAGCCCAGTTACGGATGGCAGGCAGGGGCATGCAGCCCTCAGGAATCTGCAGAGGACCTGGAGGCCCCTGAAGGCTGATACCCCTAACACCACACCACAGGAGCTTCCACAGTGCTGACAAACAGGACTGCCTTTGCCTGGCAGGAAAGTGCTCCCTGGAACCCATCCTGCATCCCCTCTGACACCCCTACCTGCACTGAGCCTGTGTCTCTCCCTTTCTCTCGGGGAGGGTGTTGCTGCAGATCCCAGCCCTGGAGTAGTGCCATCTTGCCCTTCGTCAAGGGTCAAGTGTTTATTAGGGTTTAGCTTTGCTTCCTCCAAAGGTGACAGTATTGTGTACCTGAGCGACAGATTTAACTAAGCAACCTCAAGACAGCACTGTCACTTTAAAACCTGCCCCCTGCAATCTTCAAAATCAAGATTGCCAAAGCAATCAATGGGGGAAATGTGGTTCTGTGCACATTGCAGGCCTGTTGATGGCCGTTCACCCACACACACACCCCTTCCCTCCCCTGCTCACCTGTCCCGGGGCGGGCTGCCTTCCCAGCCCCGCTGTGCCCAGCTTGACCAACAGAGGTCAGACTCTCAGAGACACAAGAGGGGTTCCCTAAGCAACTGCTTCTCTATTTTTTTCCTAACAGATAGTGGCTAGGAGAGAATTTAACTGCTTTGATCTTTCCTTTCTCGAAAAGAAAAAGAATAGTTTGATAGTATATTTTGAATATAGATGTTCTTATAGTCAGATCAGAAATTGAACTTGAATGTTGAATCATGTTTGTGTCGTTGCTGTGGTCTTCTTACCATGACTTTTTCTTTCTTCCTCCATTTTCCTTTTCAAAAAGCAAGATGGCCTTCAAAAAAATGTGTGTTCTCGATGTTGTATGAAGTTATTTAACATGGGTTCACTTGTTGTCTCTCTTCAAAGGCTTCAACCCACAGAAAAGCAGATTAAATGTCGCTCTAGATTCGTTTTCTAACTTGTTGCTGTCTGACCTTCTGAATCTTACCATAATATTTCTGTTAGCTATTGCATTGGATATATCACTGTGTGTGAGTAAACATAGAGAGATCTCTGTTTGTAAAGTAAAATTTATATATAATATATGTAATCAAAGATACATATGTTATATATACATTTGTGGGTGTATGACTTATTTTTCTGTGTCCACAGAACTCAGCTACCATGTATATATAAATAAACTTATTTTATTACCCAGAGGATTAACTTGCTAATACAGTTTGCTTTCTTTTCATTTGAAAATCATTTTTAAGTCTCCCTTATGCAGTACTAGTACCACTTCATGTCCACCTGTAATTTTTAATCTAATTTAACACTGAGTTGGGTTTTTATGAGCATGATGTGGTAATAGGACTAGTCATCTATTTTTTGGTAAAACCGGCCCTTTAGCACAGGTTTCCGAGTTCTCCAAGACAGAATCGTGTCTGTTTGGTTCCTTGGAGATGATGGAGTCACCCGAGCTACCTCCGTTCCCCATCCTCCCTCTCCCAGTGGATTTGGGTCTGAGACTCTCAAGCTAATCCAGCCACTGTTAACATTCTGTGACATAACACTGCCCAGATGTGACACCTTTGCAAACAGCTCAATGAGTAGCTTGAACCATTCACTTGGCCTTGGGCGACACATGCAGGAATTGATACGAATGCAGACCCCTAGAGTCCTGGCGCGGACCTCCGGCATTAGGAGGGTGGTGCTGTAGTTCCAGTGCTCTCTGGGCTCTTCTGGGTATTCAGAGCAAGGATGCCACATTTGGATAAACCAGGGCACAGCCGGGCTTTATGTGATCTACTTGGTTCCTTAGTTAGTCTGTTGATAAAATAACCAACACTGATATTTAATAAAGTACCAGCTATGGCATCACAAATAGACAAAGCAGAAGGGGAGAAAGGGAAGAAAGGGGTGGTATTGTAATAAGCAGGAAAGAGCACACAGGAAAAACGTGCAGGAAAGTGACTGGGTTTTTAAGCTCTGCTGTGACCTTGGATAAATAGCCTGCTCTCCTGGGCAGGGGGTACCAGAAAAAGTCCTAAATAAATTTGTCAACAACTTGTCATCTCAGCTCTGCTACTTTCTGGACATGAGAACTTGGGCAAGTCCTTGCACCTGTCAGGATCCTGTCACATACAGAGACACTAGCCAATTGTACACGTGTCTGGGGTTATGCAGTACATAGCCCAAACAGCTGTACATGTCGGCCTCTATTTCCCTATCTTCTAAGACTGAATTGAGAATTCAGTAAAATAAGGAATGGAATCCAGCTCTGCACTGGAGTGGACTCAGTACTCACTGGAAGTTGGCTCCTGTCCCCTTTTCTTGCCTGAGGGACATTCCTCCAGGATCTGGATTTTGGTTGCCTGGTTTCCCCAGGGAAAAGCTTCAGTGCAGTGGTTTTTCCATCTGTGACATCATCCCTGGGCTGGAGTCACCTTTCAGATCCTGGAGAAGAGATTGGGGCATGACAAATGAATTAGAGGATGCTGAGGGCAGCGATTAAAACCCAGAGGTATCATGAACTCCTGACTTGGAGCACACTTGGGGCACTCATCAGAAAACACTCTCTGTGGTCTTCACATATTAGTGTCTCAACAGATGGGGAAACAGAGGTGTAGGATCGTGGCCAGCACATAACAGGTACCCCACAGGTGTGGGACCTGTGGCTTGAGCTCCTGTGTCTGGTACATCAAGAGAGTTAGAGCTCAGGCCAGAAGGTGAAGTGACATGGCCAAGGTCAAGTGGTGGGCACACAGAGTGTTGAAGGGCAGAGGCAAGAAGGGAAGAGAAGAACTTTGGAAAGGACCGCTGCCAAGCCTGAGGAAGGAGACTGGGTCTTGAGGCTCTTCCTGCCATAGCTGGTTCATACCTACTTTCCCCTCTGTTCCTGTATGGATGTGTGTACATTCACACACATACCAGCCACACAGGGATGTGGAAAGCCTGAAATCAGCCCTGGGACACCTACACTGGTCTTAACTTATGATCTGAGGTCTGGGGGAAGCAATCACGTCACCTGTCATCTCAGGTACCTGAGCCTCAGGTTTATTCATCCATAAAATGGGGCTGTTTGATGCCTGCTTTGCCCTCTCAGGCAGTGAAACTCACAAACCCAGACGATCCACCCCATCAGCCTGCACTGATCCAGGCTCCCTCTTCCCCAGCAGAAAAATCTGGGTGGTTGAGCACATGACTGTGCATCAGAGAATGCCTGGGCACCTCACTGTGTGGCATCTGGCAGGGCCCATTATCTTTCAGCTCAGTGAATGATGGAAACTCGTGGAAGGAAACAGACAAAGGGCCCGGGGGGACAGGGGAGCTTCCAGAGAGGCCCATGACCAGGCCACAGGGATGCTGGGCTGGGAACCAAAAGCTGTTGGGCTCTGTAAACTTGCAGGCATCACAGAGGCAGAGTAGAGAGATGAGTGAGAGGAGAGTGGTAGCAGATCTGCCCCTCCAGAGGCGCAGGGTGTCCCTTAGGGGAACACGAACACCACCCTCCCTGGACAGTCCCCCAGCCTCCAGGGCTGGTGTCATGGGGAGCCTTGTCCGCAGCCCCGGGGTCTATGTAGGGACAGCACCCAGTGCGTGCATAGGTGGCCTGGGTGCCCGTGTGACACGCCGGGCTCTGGGCATCAGCAGTGTCTTCCTGCAGGGTCTGCGGAGCTCAGGCCTGGCCACGGTGCCCGCTCCAGGCCTGGAGAGGGGTCACGATGCTACTGAGGACCTAGGCAGCTGCCTGAGAGAATACATGGTCAAGGTGCATGTTCTAGAGCAAGTGAGCCAGGAGCTGGAAACGCAGCTGCAGACACACCTGGAAAGCAAGGCCAAGCGCTCGGGAAGCTGGGACGCCCTCCGGGCCTCTTGGGCCAGCAGCTGCCAGCAGGCAAGTGCCCGGGTTGGGCCCAAGGGCTTGGCACAGGGTTGGAGGGGAGGCTGAAGGCCGAGAGGAGGGTAAGGAGCAATCCAAGGCCAGAGAAACTGACCATAACCCCCCACATTTTCATGCAAAAAATGCCAACGGTCGAACAGTAACAACCTCGACTGTCACTTGCTAAGATTTAGCAGGGCCGGGCAGTCCAGGCCACGCACCTGTCAAGTTCTAAGCAATGCCCTTCCATTGCCTGTTCACAAAAGCCAGTAAGAGGATGGAGCTGAGATTTGAATTTCATTTCCTCAGCTCACACTTGGTCTCGGCCTTACTCCCCCGGGCTACCTCTGTCACCGTCACTGATGAGCAGGGGTATTTACGGCCCACATCTGACTAAGTGCCGCTGAATGGGTGAGCTATTAAAAAAATGGGGGCATGTTCCTGTACCCATCCATCACAGCTCTGCCCGAGAGGAACAAAATCACATTGGGAGTCTATAAGTTTCTATGACCCACGGTGAAGAGCGAAAGAAACAG